AAAAAAAAAATCCTGACACAAAGGATCATAACTCATGCATGAAAGGGCTAGAGATGCAGCAGAACGGTTTAGATTGAAACATATTCTTGTTTTAAAGCATCAGTGACATGTCTTAAAAATTGATCTTCCGAGTTGCTCTTCATTCATTCTGACTGACCTTGAGCTCCTTTCCTGAGAACACCGGGCGGAAATGCAATAGTCTTAATTTAGAAACAAAATACATAGAAGTTTGTGGTTGTGACTTCATAAAATGTGGAAAAAGTTCAAATGTTATAAATACTTTTGCAGCACCATGTGATCACCCCTATTTCTTTTTACCTAAGTGTCCCAAAACTCTTTGTCCTTTCATTGCCACTCACATTCCTAGAGTTTGTTTGCAAAAAGAGTAGGTTTATAACCTCACTCAAAAACTTTTGCTTGGCCAGTTCATGCTAGGATGTCCAAGAATTTAAAATTCAGTGTATAAACATTGAACACATGCTTTAGCGCTGCAGAATTGGTGGGGGTAACTATTGAGCCAGATTTTCAATTAAACGGATTGCCTGCAGGTAAAGTAGGAAGAGGACCGAGTGTCATGACATTTGTTGTTGCCTGGACACACATTATAAAGTTCAGCTTTTCACAGCGTGCTCCAGATTGCATGGCTTTGAATAAAAAAAAGCACTCATCACCATTTGTGGAACCTCGTGTATTTATTAGGATTATTTGTCTAACAATTAGCCTTAGTTGGAATTTTTTTTTTTTTTTTTTTTGTTCACTGCATGTTTTTTATCAGCTTTGAAAAAGGAAATGAGCAGCATGTTTTTTCAGGCCAGATTGGAGTGCCACCCTCCCCTCTAAAGCAAGTAGAAAGTAGGCTAATTTAGGAAAAAAAAATAAAAAATCATGTCTGTGTTGCTTGGCCACGTAATGAGGAGTAACTGGATTGTTTTTGTCTTTCTCTGCATTTCAACAGGATCCAGTTGGAAACAAGAAACACACAAAAACAGCTTATTTTGTAAAATAGTGTAATCTCTCCTCGGACACTTGTGAAGATATTTATTTTTCTAGAGATAACAAGCTGAGCAGCCGTGGAGCTGCTCTTCCATCTTTCCCGAAAAACAGCATTCATTTAGGTAGAGAGTATATATATATATATATATCTAAATATATATAGATATATTTACAGGACGTATGGGACGAGACTGTGGACATCGAGGATGTCTAATGGAAAATATTTGACTTACGACGAAGGAGCCCAAGGAGCTGCTTTGGGTGGGAGACAAACTATATATTTCTGAACAATGTGCCAATAATGCCACTATGTGCCACAACCTGGATAAATGGAAGTTTTAACAATAACTGAAGGACTAAAACAAAGTGTGTTGTATTAAACCCGTATCAGTTTTTATTCCTTTATTTATTTTCTTTTTTTTGTTGTTTTTTTAAAGAGATGTAAAAAAAAATACTTCAAATGTATTTGGAAATGTTTTGAAGTAATTTTGAGAAATGTGTTGCAAAGGAGTCTAAAACGTATTTCTACGAATCACAAAAAAAGAGAGCTAGAAAAAAAACATATATAGATGGTTTATGCTTTATTGAACAATTGACTTTAAAGACATAATTTGTATTAAGTCCCATTTTAAAACCAGAATAGTTATGTCTATTTTTGTACACCTGGGAATTAAAAAAAAAAGAAAAAAAAAAAAAAGAAAAAAAAGAGTCTGCTGCAGCACCGACAGTGGGAGAACAGAGGACCGCTGCTGTTACCCCCCGCCCCCTCCCACTGTTACCCAAAACTACTACAAAGGACCCCATCTGCATCTGGTTCAAGCCAACCCAATGCTCACGTCACTGCTTCTTAATCATGGAGGTTAATGAAAACAGATATGGAAGGTTTTCGTGGTGAAGGTGTATGCAACAGCATCACATTCATATAGTTTGCATACAGAGAATCAGACTCACTGCAGGGAACTCCACAGGATATTCATAGCGTCTCAGGACTGTTTAGGTTTCATGCAAAGTACAAATTAGTCTCTTTCTAAGCAATTTAGTCAGACTAAATTCTGATACTTGGTGTAATTCAAATGGAAAGTGAAAGAAAAAAAAAAGAGGCTCAAACATTTTCAAAAATATATGAACCAGTTTTCTGGATGAAAAACTGGAATCAACAGAGACATAATCCTAAGGCTCATTATGATCCTCAGCACGTTTCCTGACCAGATGTATTGCAAAGGCCACCTCTCTGTAGACCCACCAGGTCCCCTGCCAACAGGAAAGCAGTTCAAGGAGAATAAAATTTAACCAGTTTTCACCCAAACAGATTGTGTTGAAATAAATGATCCAGCAGAATCTGAAATAATTCAATTAAAAAAAAGCTGACACTCCCTGATCGTTTTGCTAAAGTCAAAGGATTAAGACAAGCCAATTACCCACCACCAAATTGGTTGAAACAGTCTCTGAAGTCAGGTGGAGTGAACTGCGTGGTGAGAATAGCAGCGCTCTCCCGAGAGCCTCCTAGCACCAATGACTTTATTGTTATTAAAACTTCAAGCTCTGATTACCTTTGTGCTACGAAGCTCTTGTGGAAACTGTCTAATAATCTACCTGTAATTGTGCTGTAGGTTTGTACAAAGCACAAACACAATTCTGTAATTGTAAACTATTTTTTTTTTTGGGCTGCAAACAGCAATATGTACAGATTTAATGGGTTTCACTGGGTGTTGAGAAAATTCATTTCCAGTAATTCACATGGGTCCATTTTATCATTTTTTTTAGACTTCTACACAATTCCTAAAATGTACCAAGAAAACATGGCAAATAATTTCAAGGAGGCCGTTTTCACACATGACTGATTGATGATGGTTTGGGGGTTCTAAACACAGTTCAGTCCGATATTTTTCATTTTTATATTATTCTTAATGTTTTTTTTTGTTTTTTTTAAGTGGCTGTTCACTTCATTATAGAAAAGTTCCTTCTGGAGATTTGGTCTCATAGTTAGAAGTGTTTGGGATGGGAGAAAGACAGAATACGGAGATATTTATGTTTTCAAAAATGATAAACCTTTCTACAATCACTGTTGTAAAGAAATAATTATGAAGAAATAAGAACTGTTTGTGTCTTAACACTTCCCAAGAGGCGAGGGAGCAAATGGCAAAAAAAAACAAACAAAACAAAACAAAAAAACAAAAACAGGTCATCAGTAAAATAGAGATATTCGCTGCTACGTTTGCACATTTTCTCGCTAGCTGTTCTTCCAGATTCTTATTTCTTTGTTTTCGAGGCAGCCTGAAAAATCTCTGAAAGAATTTCAGGGGAAATGCTGCCACGTTGTTTCTAGAACATTCCAGGACATGCATGTGTGAAAACGCCTTACGTGTAAACGCGAGCCCTTGTCGAGGTGTAAAAAAAAAAAAAAAAATGAGTTGGGATCAACACTGTGGTGCAAAACTCCTGCTTTTTGGCTCAAACACAAAATAAAAAAATAAAAAAAACAAACAAAACGGCTCTAACGATTAACGCATAACTGGTTCAGCCTCAAATGCGTCAGGCTGTGTTGCTTCTTTGACATAACATATATTTTTTGAATTCAGACTCTTACCTTCTCTATCAGAGGGGTTGCGAAACCTACTGTATATTACACACGTGTAAATGTATTTTCTATATATTTGCTTCTATTTGTGTACAGGTGTGTTCTATTTTTCAAGGCCTTTCCTGTTGTTGGGAAGGCTTCGAGCTAGGTCGGGGATAGTGTCTTTGTTTACATGTGTATCTACAGTATTTCTTTCAAAAACACAAAAACTAACCTTGTGCCAAGCTTCTTATCTGCACTTTTGAGCAGTACTTGTATGATATCTTTAGCTAACCAGTATAATACTTCAGTAGATGCTGCAATAGTTCACTGGCTGAAAAGAGGAAGGTCTGAAAGTCAGAGTACTGGGGGGCTTTATCAGGTTCTGGTGCATTTATGGATTGGCTGGAAAACCAATGACTTGCTCTTCTCAAACACTTTCAAGTGGAATTTAATATAAAGAGCACCATCACATGAATATTAATAAAAAAAAAAAAAACAACCGATGCCAAGAAACCAACTAAATTTGATCTATGTTGAGTTCCTTCCATCTGTCATTCTTTTTTTTTTTTTGTTATTTTTTATTTTTGCTACGCTTACCCCAGAAATTTCAGAATTTGGCACACGCTTCTTTAAAGGTACTGAATACGTCTACTAATAAAGTACATGATGCTGATGATGTAAAAATAAAAGTGTTAACTTGAATGAATGAAAACACATAGTCTGAAAACAAATTATTTTCCCTCAAAGTTTACAAGATATTTCCTGGTTTGTAAAATCGCCTGCACATCTTAACCTGTAACGCTGGAATGCCAGTCGTGATGGTGGTATAACTGGGATGTCTGATTAGCATGGAACTACAGAGGCTTCGGTGAGGCAACCTGTGTAGACCAACTGCAGCGTAACGCAACATATGAACTCATTTCTTTTCTTATCGTCTGGCTACACAATTTACTTCCCTACCAACTTTCTATTTTCAGTAAATACTTAAGGGTAGCTGGTTTCTTGTTGCAGATAGTGAGGGAATGAAGTCAATTCTTCGCCAGTCGGATCTGACTTTCTAAGCATTTATTTTGCGCAGCGTATGAATATTTTGCAGCTCCTGCTCCCGTCACATCACTCGCCTACGAATTCTTTCGCTCCCCTCAGCACAAAGACACTATCGACCAGCAGAGGTTTGCTCTGTCAAGACGAGGGATAAGACAAATTTACAGGTCCTGTGATTTGTGTTTGCATGTGTCAAGACATATGGAGTGGAACTTATCGACATATGTATTGTTTGAACATCTAAATGTTGACTGAACATTTCCAAGGTCTGTTTTTTTTTTTTTTTTCATTATTATTATTTCCCCGCCATATCGTTAAAGAGCATTACCGTAAGAGGAAGAGAGTCGATGAATCGAGTCGGCTTCATTATCCGGGTTTTGATGTCCGACGAGCCCAGAAACGTATTAAACACGTGGCATTGACAGCGACAAGGTGGTGCTTTGAATTTGATCAAAGTCAATAGGGTGCTCAATGAGGCGAGACTCTGCAGGAGGAGAGAAATAGTTGATGCGACAATAAATCTCACCGAATCAATTCCTTAGCTGTGAGGAAACTGTAGCTCCTCACTCCGCTTCTCCTTGTTTCAGGAAAATCTCGTACTGTGCGCTTACTGTAATCGCAGCAGAGGGCTCTGACTCTGCTCTTGGGTCATGTTTTTTTTATTTTTTTCACAAGAGCTAAAGCACTGCTGGTGCTTATCTATACAGTGAAAGACCTGGAAATATAAAAGAAAAAAATATTTTTTTTGTTTGCAGCACCCGCGATTTCCTCATTACGCATCGGCGAGAGGGGGGCGAGAAGTACCGTGACCCAAATCTGCCGTTGATTCACACAGAAGGCCTCTAGCTCTGTAAGATGCCTTTTGCAACAGAGTGCAGATCTGAACTGAGCGGCATGTAAAGGGAATCTGAGAAGCAGGAAGGAACGGGAAGACAGCTACTGAGAGCGTTTAGTGACGACATAATCGGAGGCTGAATTTGAGCTAATATGGGAGAGAAAAGTAAAAAGTGTCATTAATATCATACGTTGTGTTTACAGGTGGGGGGAGGGGGGGTAAACAAATAGGATTTTACGCGTTGGGGGGGCGGGAGGGGGCTGCTCATAACGGGAACGATCGTTCACACTCGACAAAAGTTCACACATACTTACGATGAAGGAAAACGACTCCAGTTGTGTTGTCGCCATAAAAATGAAGAGTTTGTACTTTGTGACTCTTAAACTTTTTATATTTGTGTTTAATATATCAATGAGTACCTCTGTTAACTTTTCTATAAGACATATGACTATAGTATATAAACGCACACATTCATGCACACACACACACACACACACACACATTATACACCTCCAAAAAAGGGACTCCAGTCTGTCTCTGTGACGGCTAAACGTTGTATAACTTTTGTTTTGTGTCTTATGAACTACATCTCTTCCTTTTGTAGTAATTGGTAAACGTTTCAATTTCCAGGTGACTATGATTTGGTTATTCTTGTACTACTAAGCTCTGTATTTGCAAGCACTGTAAATGCGATTCTCACTGGATTCGTCCTCTGTACATTTAGTACTCTGATGTTGCTATTAATAAAACATAAAACAACATGAGCTCGTGCTGTAATGTGTTTTTTTTATTTTTATTTTATTTTATTTTGTCTTGTCTTGTGGAAAGAGCAGAGAAATAACTTCACTAAACAGCTGAGAATAACATCACTGGTTATACAATGTGTATGTATTTAAAACCAGAGAGTGGAACTTTATAAAACAATATGTTATTTTACAAATTTGATAAAAATGTCACAATGTCGTGACAGTATGGTACGTGACAGAGGATTTGTAAGCACAAATCCTCCAGCTCCTCCCTGAGTTGCTATTGCCATCTGCAGGAATACACTGGTCAAAAACAACCAATCAGAGCCAGGAGGAAGGTCATAATACTGTTAATCAACTTGTGTATGCGCTGCTCAATGTGCTAATGGCAGAGAAACAACTTACCGTTCCAGGTAAACCGCTTATCTGCCGTCATTTTCCCTCTCAGTTTCCAACTGAAAGGTGTATCTTTGCAGTTAGAACTGGGAGGACTGGGAGAAGGCAGAGTAGCTGGATTTTCTTTATTTTTAGCAAATAAAGGATTTTTTTTTCAATAAAAGATACATACTGCTGCTTTAAAAGACGCAAGTTCTCTGTCTAGATTTAATTAATTCATAAGACAGAATTACTGCTAGCAAGTCATAAGTGAATAAATCAGAGAAATGCATGTTTATTATTATCTTACATAGACTTTCTTTTTTTTATTATTATTATTTTTTAAAGAATATTCATGTTGACGGCTGCATAGTAAAACAGTTGGCAGCTCCAGTGCCCTGCAACATGAAGCTCCTGGGTTTGAATCCCTGCCTGAACTGTCTGCATGTTTTCCTTGTGCATTTATGGACATTCTCTTCAGTTGCTCTGACTTTTTCCTACAGTCCAAAAACATGATTGTTAGGTTACAGACTCTCTCTAAATTCTCTTTTAGGAGTATGTGCATGACCAGTTGTTTGTCCTGTGTTGCTCTGTGATGAGCCAGTGACCTGTGTAGTTTGTACCCTGCCAATCGCCCAATGACTGCTAGAGATGAGCGCCGCCCTGCAGCGGTTGGCAAGTATAGAGGATGGACAAATTCATGTTTAAAAAGAAAATGCAAAGATGAGGTGAGCTAAATTTCTTACTAGTGTTACGTCTGTGTGACAAAATGTATAATTCTGCACATAACATTCAAGTGTCATCACTTCTGTTTACGACCACAACCGGATGAAGAATATGCAGACACCGTATGAAAATATGAACTTCACAAAGGAAGCTCTGTGCTGCAGAGATGCAGACCAGATGCCACCGCATGCACCTTGATGTGTGGTAATGCCGACCTCCACTTGTTTTGGTGCAAGTTGAACAAAGCAACCGGAATGCTGACTTGGACAGTCTGAGGCCTCCCATAAACCCTGAGCTGAAAGTCTAATTCGACTGGCTTTTAGGTGAAAGTGGCTGTTACTGCGGAAACAAAAGTGTTCAATTTCTGGTTTGTCAATCTCTATTACAAAAAAAAGAAAAAAAAACACAAAAAAAACAACAAAAACAAAACAGTCATGTAGTTGCAATGTTTAAATAAAACTGCTTGAAACGAGACAAGCAGTTTTAACGATGCTGTCGGTTAGAATTCTGTGTTTAAACAAAAAATTATTGGTTGAAATAAATTAGGACACCCTCACCTAAAGATGCCTTCAATTATAAATAGGCGCATGCTTAGAAGACGGTTACTCAGCATTATGTTGGAGGTTTGCCCCGACTAAACTCAGGCATTTTGTCTGGTGTGGAGTGAGAGTGAGCAGCACAGGAAGATCAAAGAAGCTGTCTGAGGACTTCAGAAGGAAACTGCAGCGGCTTATGAGTCTGGTCAGGGATTTAAGATGTTTTGAAACAATTTCAAAATCGACTATTACACTGACTACACAAAATTAATGGCAGCAAAAGCTCTGTCATTGGCATTGGTCAAACAAGAGAACACAGCATGTGCTGCTTATCCTTCTGTTTTTTTGTTTTTTTTTTTCACTTTTCTGTGACTGTGCTGCTGGTAGATTTCTCAAATACAAAAAAGAATTATGCTTTTCCACAATATTATTTAGAATTTCACTGTTCGGTAATTATCATAATGCTGTGCTTCTTTGCCCGAGGTTTAATTGAATCATACGGTGCAATACTTCTATAATTATTAAATGATTGGTGGTGGATAGTATTTGTCATTTGGAGAATGCAGATTGTAAATAATAATAAAAAAAATTATATTCGAGATCAGTGGATTCATATAATGCGTTGGTGGTTTGGTAATTTGACAAAAATAACTGTGGCGTCATCGTCCGCCTGGGTAAAAAGCTCTAAAATGACTTGCGGCATGTAGACAAGGCTGTTACTTCTCAAATAGCCATTTTTCACCCTGATTAAGGTGTGAAACGTCTCTACAGCCAGCTTTTCCTTTTGTCTGAAAGAACTCTACGATTAATAACAGCTCAGAAAGTTTTTTTTTTGTGTGTGTGTGTGACTACAGGTGCTGATTATCCCTCCTATAACAGGTCTTTAAAGTCCACTTTAGCTGCATGCCTGCACAATATGACACTCGCAGATAAACACAAAAACATGCTTTACTTTGCCTTAAGTTTGCTATTTCCCATTTGTCTTGTGAATGTCACTCAGTTTAACTTCACTACAGCAGGAAATGAGCCTGCTTTGAAAGGATTTACCAGTGGGTTTTCTCTCATGTAGCTTCCCTTCACAGTATGATGTGAGCACTTTTCTTCTCTTTTTTTTTTTAGACTTTCATAACAGATCTTTAATAATACATCTGGGGTTCATATTTTTTCTTACATAAGGTTTTCTCAAGACACAGTTTACTGTAGCCCACAACTTCTCGTGGTAACAGGGGAA